AACCAACAAAGTAAAACACAGGGCAACAACCATTTCTTTTATCCCATTTGTCCAACAACACCCGCATTTCAAACAAAAAGGAACAATTTAATAACTAATAACTTCAGGCACTTTCCAATTCTCAACTAGCATGATAAAGACCATGGATAATTTATTGTGTCCATTTTCTTGCCATCTTAAGTGACCAGTAACTGAAAATTTCTTATCAAATGTGTTAATGCTGCAATATATAGGATGGCGGAGAAAATTCTAGTGAAGATTGGTTGAGGAACTTGACCGTGTCACTACTCACCTTTGGAAAGATGTCTTTTCTGGAAAACCTTTCAAAGTGTTTAGGATTTGAAAACTTGTAATCGATTAGAGTATGCCTAAAATCAAACAATGACCTTCACAAAAACTAACTCAAAAACCCTAAATCCCTAAACCAGAAATTCACATAATAAAAAAAACCCTAATTCAGAAATAACCTACTCTTTTGCAGGATGATGGATGTAACTAAAAACCTTACCCAAAATATAAACAAAATCTCCTTCTCCCTCTCCCTCTCTCCCCAAAGCCAATCCAATCCCTCATAAGAACCCATAACATGATGTAATTGTAAATTTTACCCAAAATTACAAAAAACAAAAAACAAAAACAAAAACAAAATTCTCTCAAAATATACCCAAAAGCTAGAAACTAAAACCTAATCATAAGACATAAACTTATGTAGAAACTATACACCATAAACTTTCTCAAGGATACAATGTCTAAAAGGAAAATCAACAGAATTTCAAATTTCAAGCAGTGAGCATTTTTCAAACCCACAATTGAATAATCACAAAACGAATTCAGTGCAACCATTATGCTCAAGGAAAATTATTGTAACAAAATTCAAACAGATAGCAATCATGTCCGTGGATACCTATGACTTTCCTTATAACAAATTGACAGGTCCAATCCTAAATTTTGTCATTTTCCTAAAGATGTTCCAATTTCTCAAAATCTTAAATCCAACTATACTTCTCAATGACCAAATAACCACATATGAGAACCAAAACAAAGCCTTGAAGGGGGGGGGGGGAGGGGAAAGAAAGGTAAAAAAACAGAGGAGAGCGGCTCATGCAGTAATGATTTACCTTTTGTTTTGGCAAAAGTTTCCATTTTGTTGGAGGCTTAGGCACTGGCAACTGTAGAAAGCAATAGAATATGTCATTGGCAGTCGACGTTATGCTTAAGAATACAATAGCAACTCCTAAATCGATTACAGAAAAAAAAACCAGCAGCATCAACAGCCTTTTTGCATACACTAACATTTTAGTCAACCAATTTACATGATAAGAACCGTAAATTGGCATCACGACAAAAGGGGATATAAAAATCAAATGCTTATATACATGATCAAACCTGTCAAAACAACATCGTTTGACAACCATCGTAAAAAATACACCCAAAATTAAAATTAGTAATAAGAAGCTAAAATAAAAGCAAGAAAAACAAAAATTGAAAATTGATAGGACTTACAAATGCCCATCTTTTCTTACTTCCAGAAAACTACTCAAGAAACAATGAGATAAGGAGTTCCAAAAATAAGAAATATAAGCCTTTTCCCAACTTACTGTGTCTCCTACCGAAAAAAATGAAATATTAATGTTGCATAATAGAAGAGAAAACAAAAGTAGGTTTCTTTTATGCTCTACATAATACTTTGGAACAATGAAGCAAAAGGGTACTTACTTGTTCCTTGTCCAAAACCGTTGGTGCCACCGCACATCGTTATTAATTGTGGGTTTATCAAATCCTTCATGGCTTAGACTGGATGAAGAATTAAAAACTAAAAGATGAATATATGCTGTAAATCATCATATAAATGTAATTGCATTTAAAAAAGGAAGGGAATGAAAAAATTGAATTCTATTTCATCAGTATGTAACTGCATGAAAGGGTACATTGAATGCAGACTCAATCAATTTCTCCAAAGTCATTGTTAATTGAAAATCAATACCAAACCCATAAATACCACCATTGAATTTGGCAAAACCCAAAAACAAATTACAAAAATTTACTCATATAATCACAGAAAAACATGAAATTTGAGCACCCATTTGGCCAAGTTAAAGGATAAAGGGCACTCACATCACCGTAGTACTCTTTGGGAAGACCTTCTAATACTGGTTCTTCCTTTTTCTTGCTCTTCCTCAGAACTGCCATAAAATAACCTAGAGAAACATACAAATTCAGATAGTCAGATTGTTAGTTTAGGAGAAGATTATTGCCCAATAAATAGGTATAATCAAAGAATGAGCATATCCAGTTAATATTACAGTACAAATTTGCATCCCAAGAAAAAGTACCAAATTCAACGTCCACACAAAATAGCATTAAGCAAATGTGAATTTTCAACTATTTTGATGAAATAAATAACTTTCATTTCAAATTTCATCACTTTCTCAGTAAACAAAAAAGACAAAAGTATATAATTAGAAGCCAATTCAACAATTAACAAAAAAGTTGCAGAAATTAACTCAAATCCGGTAACACAGCCTGCTATAAAGTAGAGGAAGTGCATGAGCCTCCTCAAAATGGATGTCCAGGGTTGACCCTTATGCAGAAGGAAGCATAGGAAGCATAAATGGGATATCAAGTGAGGATCTCAAGTAAATTCACAACTCAAAACCCAACCAGCAACAATTTGTTCATGACATCTTAAAACATCCAATTTCATCCCGAAAACAGGACATTTAATGTAGAAAGCTCAAACTAAAATAATTGATGAACCAAATTGAATTTATCCTTTCAATTGCTTGGTATTTTTATTTATCCTCGTATCTTTCAATTGCCACCCAAAACGAACACCTGAGAGAGCATTGCACTTCTTATCTTTAAAAGCATGAATGCTGAACTAAATAAAAGAATAAGAATCTGCAATGAACTAAATAAAAACACACTTTTTACGAACATTATTCGCAAAAAATTAAAACTGTATTGAGAAACTCATTATCCCATTTTTCACGAATGATGTAAGATGATAAAACCAATTGGTGGGTGCACTGAAATATATTCACAGGCCCATTAATGGTACGAACATCATACAGTGAATTGCACATAAAGTATAACATCATCAAGTATACCTTGAGGCAGCTTTGGATGTGATCATTATCAAGTCTTCATCTCTTGAGCACTCAGCATCTCATAATTCCTCATCTCCATACCATTATATAGCAGCTGCTACCGCTGAAGCAGTACCCGCGTCTGCTTATATGCATTGAAAAACATATCACGCATTCATTATACACTTCTCTATTAATTAATCAGCTAACTGAATTTAAAATTAGCTTCCAAACCAAAAAAGTTCTAAACTTTTATTTTTGCAATCACTTTTAGTTCTTCATCTCTAACTCTAAATCCCAATTACAGAAATATCTAAACTTTACTTCAATTTAGTATTGTTTTCCCCAAAAACAGCATAATCCCACAAAAATAAAGTAAATAAAATAAAATAAATCATGAATTAAATTAAACTTCTCACTTCCACCTTCAGCAGAGCTTTCACATTCTCAACCTGTCACAAAAAAAAAAATCAAATCAAATTAAAAAAAACAGAGAACTTGAATATAGCAAATCAGTAACCCTACTCCCCCTCTTTCTCCCTCTCTCCCTCTCCCTCTGCAATTCACCCGTGAAACCCCTAAACCCCACGCATAGGCCCTATATCTTGTGGTTGCAACCTCACGAATCGTCCCCATCACCTCAATGCCACCGAACCACAAATCAGGTACAATTTATGAGAGTAATTGTAAAAATGGATAAAACACTTTAAATAACTATAAGTTTTGAATTAAACTGAAGAAAATAGTTCAATTTAAGAAAATCCCAGTAAATGGAAAAGGATATGGTGAGTGAATAGTGCCTATGAATTGCTCAGAAGCACATATTCTTCGAATTCCTCACCGCAAAGGCAGCAGGCCTAACAGTAAAAAATGGAAAATGGTAAAATTAGAACGAAAACAACTTTTATAGACAGCACAAAAAAATGGGTTATGTTGCAGAACATCGACACTGAAACATCCAACTACCATCAAATTATGGATAATCAAATAATGAATTACCATCAAAATTCCAAAATATAATCTAACAATTGGATACAAACCGAAGAACCAGAAAGTGAGGAGGACGATGATGCAGGACCACGCCACGTGTCAGCCGTAATCACCGTCGACACCTCATCGAACGGCGGCATATTTCCGCCGTACGAAGTGCCGATTTCGTGGCTTTGCTCCAGCTCCAGATGCCGGAAATGGGTATGTTGGTAGCACTGATTGTCATAGTCCTTCTCCCGAACCTACGAAGCGCTCAAATGTCATAGCGGCAGTGGCAGTAGCAGCAGCACCGCCTGAAGTATTCCTATTGGTCGAAGCACCAGGAGAAGAAGAAGATGAGGAGGAAGACAATGGATGTTCTTCCATTGCAAAGAGGGAAAATTGGGGGAAAATTAATTTTGGAACCTAACCTAATTTAGAGGGAAAGGTATTCAAGATTTTAAGTGATTGTATTCTATCATGATTTTAAAATAGTTTATTAAAACCTTAAAAATCTAGCTGTATTCAATTCGAATTTGAATTTAAAGAATTTGAAAAACTTGAGGAAATTAAAGAGATTTTGTAGTGTATATTAAGTATCTACAAATTTCATCATTTTATAAGATTTCGAGATAATTGAATCAAAATTTTACATGGAATCTCTACAAATCAATTAAACTTTATAAAATTCATAAATTTATAAATCTATTAAAATCTCTTAAATTCTCAATTGAATACACCATCTTATTTATTTGAGATCGAGGATGTTCGATTTAGCGATCGCACCTTTACACGATCATCGACAGCGGGCATCGTGACCAATGGCAGAGAGAGTCAATGGCAACTTCGAAAATAAAGTGAAATTATATCCAAAACACTGTTCATTTCTACAGTGCGATTTCGCCTCGTAATTATCACATACATAAATCAGCCGATTGAAAAGGTTCACCTCCGAAAGCTTCTGGAAGTTGCCATGGCAGTGCCTTCTCTCCCACCATTTAACCCCCCATCCCTTCCTCTCTGCTTCCCATCTCTTCCTTTCTCTATCCTCCTCTTTCATCATCATCATCCTTTCTCTCTCTACAACTTCTTCCCCCATCTGGGTTTTCATCTTCAACCATGAAGTTGATCAAAATTAGCTCCAAAAATCTCAGTCCGAAATGCCTCTTCGGGTCCAAGGACCGGTCCTCCGTGTCCCGCTGCCCGTCGTTCGGTTCCGGATCGGATCTTTCCTCCTCCTTCTCCTCTTCCCCAGATTCAATTCACAAGCCCGGGGCCGGAGCCGGCGGTATCACCACGCCCACCAGCGTTTTGCCCCAAAAATCGGGTGTCTGGTCCCATTTATCTGCTGATCTCGACGTGGCCCAAGCGTTTAAGCTTATAGACCGGGACAACGACGGAGTGGTGTCGAGGAAAGAACTCGAGGCGTTTCTGTACCAGCTCGGGAACGACCCGCCGAGTCAAGAGGAGGTGACGTTGATGCTGAGCGAGGTGGACCGAGACGGCAACGGTATGATAATCCTTGAGGCTTTATTGAACCAGGTCGGACCGGTTTTCGGTCTAGATGCCGACTCGGAGCTTCGGGATGCGTTTGAAGTGTTTGACACGGATAACGACGGCAAAATATCGGCGGAGGAACTTTTGAGTTTTTCTGCTGATCTCGACGTGGCCCAAGCGTTTAAGCTTATAGACCGGGACAACGACGGAGTGGTGTCGAGGAAAGAACTCGAGGCGTTTCTGTACCAGCTCGGGAACGACCCGCCGAGTCAAGAGGAGGTGACGTTGATGCTGAGCGAGGTGGACCGAGACGGCAACGGTATGATAATCCTTGAGGCTTTATTGAACCAGGTCGTACCGGTTTTCGGTCTAGATGCCGACTCGGAGCTTCGGGATGCGTTTGAAGTGTTTGACACGGATAACGACGGCAAAATATCGGCGGAGGAACTTTTGAGGTTTTTCACGTCTGTCGGAGACGAAGGGTGCACGTTAGAGGAGTGCCGGCGCATGATAGACGGGGTAGATAAGGACGGGGATGGGTTCGTGTGCTTTGAGGAGTTTGTTCATATGATGGAGCCGCAGAGATGATGATGATCATGTTGCTCCTGATGTTTAGCGAGTCATAAAAGTCTTGATTTTCTTTTTTTTTTCTTCTTAATTTCCATTGGGATAATGGATGTATGGTTTCAAAGGGTGTCTTAAAAATATGGATAAATTAAATAATACCTCATCAGGTTTGAGATCTATTACAACTCCATATAACATCTTTAAAATATTTTACTTTTATATCTTATGTACTATTTTATTTCAATATAGTACTTCTATTACATTTTCACCCATTGATCAATTAAAAGCTGCATGGTTGTCACATTTGTGCCATGTGGTTGTCAAATTTATGCCACATGGCAAAAAAAATAATAATTAAAGAAAAGTAAAAAAACAAAAATAAAAACGTAGAAACCTATCCCTTCCCCTCCCCTTCCTTGCAACCCCCCACCACTCTTGTCCATTCTCCTCACCTCCCCCAAATGATCTGTCACCAAACCCATTTCGTCCCTCTCACCGTCCTCCACCATCAACTTGCCTCCGTCACCCGCACTCGTCCACCATAACTCCCGTAAGCAAAATTTGGAAGCCACCACCGAAGCCGCATATGCACCTTCGCGCACCTCCGCCTCTTCTTGTGGGTCGAGTGGTCTGGGCTGTTCAAGCATGACCGGGAGAAGGGGATTTTTTGGGGTGGGTGATGGGGTATGGGAGAAGAGGGTGAGTGATGGGTGGGGAAGACGAAGGGGGTAGGTGATGGGTGGGGAAGACGGAGGCAACGTGTGGATCAACGAGAATCGGTTCAAGATCGTGAGGCAGCTTGGGGAAGGTGGGTTTGCCTATGTATATTTGGTCAAGGAGGTGGTCGCCGATTCCTCCTCCTCTAGTGGTGGCGGCCTCACCGAGAAATTCAAGGATCCCTCTCATGTCTCAGGTGATTCAATTTATTGGGTTTGTTGATTTTTTGATGTTTTTGTGAGAATTTGGGATTTGGGTAGTGATCTATTTTGAATTTTGTGATCTGGGTTGCACTAATTTGAATTGAAAATGGTTGAAGTCTGTATCTTTGAGGAATTAGTGATCTGGGTCATTTGGATATAAGAATCTGAAATTATTGGATTTAATCAGTCTCAAACTACATTTGTTCTCCTCTTATTTTCTTTCTTTGATTTTTTATTTTATTTTTTATTTTTTTTGCTCAATTATTATTATTATTATTATTTTAGCCTGATTGAATCTCCTATTTCTAGTAAAAAGCAAAGAACACTGAATGATATTATTATTGTTTTTTTTTCTTTTTTTCTTTTTATAAAAAAAATAGGACAAGTGGTGGCATGTCACTGTTATTCACTCTATCTAGAGGCATAGAATTAAGGATATATGAGAGAGGTTACACGAGAGGTTACGCTGAATGTTTATGTTATTCCTATAGTGGGATTAGGAGGTTTGGGAAAGACCACCCTTGCCTAGTCGGTGTACAATGATCAGAGAGTTGTTGGGAGTTTTGACTTAAGAATGTGGCAGCATGTGTCGGTGGACTTTGATGTTACTAGATTGACATAAGACATCCTTGGCTCTGCACTAGGTACAAAGATCAGTGAAGGGTGTCTTTGGATCAGTTGCAAGCACAACTACGAGATGTTTTAAGGGATAAGAAATTTTTGCTCGTCTTGGATGATATGTGGAACGACGATCGTATCAAATGGAGCAGGTGAGAGATTTATTGATAGAGGGGACCAAGGCAGGAGCTAAGATTTTGGTGACCACAAGGAATATCTCAGTTGCTTCAATCATGGGCCCGGTTGGAACATACATAAATTTACAAGTTCTCTCTTTTGCGGATTGTATGAAGTTGTTTGTGTTGGATATATGTCAACAATCTGTGATAAATTTATATATGCTAATAAATAAACAGTGTATGAACAATGAACTAATATTAAACAGAAATATTGAAGATCGAGGCTTGCGTACCGCAATGTCATTGAAACAGAAATTTCGCCCTACTCAGTGTTTTGTAGTTCTCTAGACGTCTGTTTCACTAGGATTTAACGATCAAGTTAGAATTCCAGCACCGGAAAACTTAAATTCTGGCGAATTTCCTTGGAGTACTTTCAGTAAGAATGTTATGGATTATAGATGGAGATTTATGTTTTTCTGTGTTCTAAATGCCATGTAGACGAATGTATATATAGTGGGATTATGCCTGTTTGCAACATGTATAAAAATGGGATGTGACTGTTGGGAGACATCTCTTCAGATGGGGTGCAGTGCTCTCTGCGTTTTTCATTGACTTTAGACTTTATCTGAAAAGATGAGTCTGTTCAAATAAAAATTAATTAAATTAAATTCGAAATTAATTAAAAAAATAATTAATTAAAGAATTTAATTTTCAGATAAATAATTAATTAAAGAATTGTTGTGGTCTATTTTATCTGACAGATAGACTAGGGCCGGCGGCAGAGAAAGAGAGAAGAGAGATGTGTATTTGTAGAATTGTAGGGGAATGTGTGTGTTGTTATCCCTCCTACATTGTGCCTTTATTTATAGTAGTAAAGGTAGAGAAGATATTTCTTCTCCTCCAAGTAATACAAGTTGTAATAGGAAAGGATAACTAGAAGCAAATCTTATCTAGGATTTACACAATCATACTTAAACTAGGAATGTTTACAACACTCCCCCCTTGAGTGGGTAAATACTCAAGGTAGATTCAGCATCATGCAGAAGTTGAGGAAGTCGACTCGTCGACATTGATTCCAAGGAACAACGCTTATTCTCAATAAGGTAGGAACTTGCATAAGTAGTAAGTCTCACTAAAAAAAACCCTAAGGCTATGGCAAAAAACCCGAGTATGGACAAAATCCATAGTCTAAGGAAAAATGCGTGAGAAATGCAAAGTCAAAAGAAACGTCTACAGGACGTCATCAGGGATATGACCAGCCCAAGGTGGGTGCCTCGTTAAAACCTAGTTAGGTAGCAAAAACCCAGTGGGAAAATGCTCCTAATCGTAGGGAAAAGAGTACATTAAGATCAAGCAAGTATCCAGAAGATACTCCCCCTGAGTTTGACATAATTCCAAAGAGAAATAGCAAAGTTACAACTCAGAAAGTTTACGCATACCAATTCCATGAACAAGCTTCTGAAACGTCGCCTTCGGTAGTGATTTGGTGAAGAGGTCGGCCAGATTGTCTTGTGATCGGATTTACGTGACTTCAATCTTCTGATGCTCTTGTTGTTGATGTGTAAAGAAGAACTTCGGTGCAATATGCTTGGTGTTGTCTCCTTTGATGTAACCCTTCTTGAGCTGTTCGATGCAAGCTGCGTTGTCTTCAAAAATCGTCGTCGGGGCATTAACGGCGGGATGAAGATCATAGGAGCTTCGAATATGGCCCACTACTGCTCTCAACCAAAAGCATTCCCGAGTTGCTTCATGTAAGGCGAGAATTTCAGCATGGTTAGACGAAGTGGCAACTAAGGTCTGTTTAGTTGACCTCCAAGATATTGCGGTGCCTCCAACGGTAAAGACATAACCCGTTTGAGAACGCGCCTTGTGCGGATCAGATAAGTATCCAGCGTCGGCATAACCAACAAGGCGAGAATCAACCCGATGAGCATAGGGTGCGGCATCACTCGAGGATTCGTAAGGATAGAATAAGCCCAAATCCGTAGTACCCTTAAGGTAACGGAAGATGTCTTTCACGCCAGTCCAGTGTCTGCATGTTGGTGCATTGCTGTATCTTGCCAAAAGATTAACAGCGAAGGAGATATCGGGTCTAGTGCATTGAGCTAAGTACAATAAAGCGCCTATTGCACTTAGATAAGGAACTTCAGGCTCCAAAATCTCTTCATCATCCTCATTCGGACGGAAGGGATCTCGTTTTGCATCTAGCGTACGAACGACCATAGGAGTACTCGAAGACTTCGCTTTATCCTCATTAAAACGGCACAACACCTTCTGGGTGTAGTTCGATTGATGTATTAAGATTCCATCCGAACAATGCTCTATCTCGAGACCGAGACAGTATCGAGTCTTACCTAGATCTTTCATCTCAAATTCCGACTTCAGGTGCGAAGCAGTTCTCGCGAGCTCTTCAAGAGTTCCGATGAGACTCATGTCATCGACATATACTGCAACAATCGCAAATCCGGAATGTGACTTCTTAATGAACACACAAGGGCATAGTTCGTTATTCACATATCCCTGACTAGTCAAATACTCACTCAAACGGTTATACCACATTCTTCCGGATTGTTTCAAACCGTATAGTGAACGCCTCAGCCGAATTGAGAGCGTGTTCCGGGGTTTGGAAATATTTGAACCAATCAATGTAAGTCCTTTCGGGAACTTTTCATATAAATTTCCGTATCAAGATCCCCATAGAGATACGCGGTTACTACGTCCATCAGCTGCATATCCAGTTTTTCGGAAACTACCAAACTGATAAGGTATCGAAAAGTAATCACATCCATAACGGGTGAGTAAGTTTCGTCATAGTCAATCCCGGGGCGTTGTGAGAAACCTTGTGCTACAAGACGAGCTTTGTAACGCACAATTTCGTTCTTCTCATTACGCTTCCGAACGAAAACCCACTTGTAGCCAACGGGCTTTACATGTGGAGGAGTAGGAACTACAGGTCCAAACACTTTACGTTTCGCAAGTGAATCAAGTTCGACTTGGATTACTTGTTTCCAGTTTGACCAATCAGCTCTACGTCGACATTCATCAACGGAACGCGGTTCAATGTCATCGCTCAACATGATCTCAGTAGCTACTGCATCGTCGATAATCATCTCATTTCTACGTCACACATCATCTAAGCTAGCATAATAGACCGAAATCTCACGATTCTCGGGAGGAGGATTCGTCTCTTCAAGGACGCTTCCATAATCTAGAATTTCCTCATGAGTTGGGTAAAATGAGTAAGCGATAGTTGGATTCACGGTAGGCTCTTCAGGACCTTGTGCCGTGGTTTTCCTCTTCCGGGGGTGTGAATCCTTTGAACCAAGGGGTCTGCCATGCTTTTGTGTAGGGGCAGATGATTGGCTAGCCGCTAATGTACGTGGATCACCAGAATTGGCGTCCCGGGCTTCCAGGAAGGTAGTCCGTCGTACATTTGGTACATCCATCTTTGCAGGCGTATTCGCAGCTGGAATATGTGATCTTGTCACGGGCGCTAGATCGGTGAAAGCATCTGGCATG